GAAAATATCCCGCTGAAGTATCTGTCGCTCCACGCTGTAAAGGTTATGGCACAGTTTCCAGTCCGCCATGATTGGGACTCCCCGTCATGGAGTGTTCACGAAATCGAACGCATCCGGAACAAGTACAAATGTGACTGCAAGGAGTTCTACCAAAATGGATGGCTGTGTGCGCATATCCTGGCGACTCTACATCTCGTTGATTCGCTTGACTTGAAGATGATGCTTCGTAATTTCCCGGCCCGTAAACCTCCGGGGCGACCACGGAAGAAGACACGGTGCCTCGATCGCGACGGCACAAGAAAATCTCAGTATTCGGTCAATGCTTTGGTTAAGCGATTGACGGAAAAGCCGACCAGCGTTATTAACTGGAGTATTTTGACAATGCAAACTTCCAGCGACGAGGAAGGCGAGGAAACACAGCGTAACTACATTGGCAAAATCAAACCTCCTTTCATGCGCGGCGGTAAATGGCACTGGGACATAGAGTACGAAGAACTGGAAGCAGCGCCACCGATGCAAATTGAAGAGCTGGCCAGGACGATCAACTACTCGTTCCAGATGGGGCACAACTTAGTGCCCAACTAGCGTTACTCTACGCCCGCATGGATAATGCATCCTTGATTACGTAAAAGTACAAACAGATAAACTATAAAACTAACCCAAAAATAAAATAAAAAACTTGCATGGAAACACTGTCATACCCTTGCTCATACAATTAAGCCGAATATCAATGTATATTTAGCGCATGTCATACAATATAGCCGCTTGTCATAGAAAAAAACGCCTCAACGTCATAAAAAAGAGTCAAAATGACACGTCTTAGAAAGTAGCCGAAAGTATCATAAAAATAATCCGCACCCCCAAACGTCGACACAATCAGCACAAGCAATTAAAGCAGGCACGTGTGGTGCGGCGAGATCAGCAGAATCCGACTTCCCACCAGTACCCAAACGCCGACAAACAATGCCCCCCCCTCCCCCATGATCCATGATCTGCTGAACTTGTTCACCCTGTGTACCCGTCGGTAGGGCAGAATCTTGCCCCTCTGGCAACTGCGGAAAGGTTCAGTGGGTGAAGCTTGAGTGTCTTGACGAGACGCGTGGGTGGAGTAGTAGTGGAGATCTTTACTTTACGTTCGATGTAGGGTCCAGACAGCATGCAAGTACTTCGAGCTTGTAGGATCTGGCGTTCTTGAATTGTGATCTGACCGTAGCTAGCATTATGGGCGTGTTTCCTTGAGTTTCCTTTTCGTCATGCTTGCCGCTTAGTGGGATCTTGATAGTTGAGAGTTGATAGGCATTCCCGACCAAGCAGTAAATCCGGTAGACCTCCTTGACCTGCACTTGTAAGCGAATGTTCACTAGGTGGTATGATCTGGCCTACACTATATCCAGGTATCACAACCAACACTAGATCTGCGATACCCAACCTTCATCCCTGTACGGCCATGTCGTTTTTGGACCTTGAGGCTTGTGTAACACAATGCAAATTCGAGTCTTTTATTTGTTAGATCATACTCCAAGAAGCTGTGTATAAGCGGCTAACGCCCGGCCAATACTTATTCCTAGTGCGTTTATTTTGCGAGGCAAAATCTAATTCCCACCTTGACTCCCACGTACTTGCCACTTGCATGATGTTCCCGTTACATTTCCATGTCCCTTGTTCTTTTGTGTGTGACCTTGATCCCTTGTTCGTGTGACCGAATACCCGGAGGCGAAGTAGACACGGATCCCGTCCAAGACCAATAGTTCTCCCTGGTGCATTGCCGTCCTTGGTTTAATCCAATCCTCGATACGACTAAATGTCACTTGCACTCCGCTCGGCAAAATCGATTCCGATTTATAGTTAGATCCTACACGCCAACCGTCGCTTCCCTCACAAATGCTAGATCTCCTATCTTCAGCTTATTGATCTTTGTCGCTCAGATGTCCTTCATACCGGATCTTGACCGATTTGTCGCTGCCTCGCCTTATGCTCGGATTGCAGCAGATTTCTCTAAATAATGACACCCATACTCCAGATCCTGACGATCTTAATCACCAAAATTATGTCGAGGCAGGATCCGTCTTGATCCGAATTCTGCAGGCATGCACCGTGAACTCCCACACATGGGTCATTACAATTTAGGTCTCACCGTCCGAGATCCGCAGGATCCACCCTCGCATATTCAAGATCTGGATCCGTCATATCGGACACTGGATTGATAAGATCCCGCTCCACGATGACCAGATTCGTGCCTCTTGGTTTTAATCCGGGTCTATCATGTCCGATTAGTCTTCATTCCAGTGGTCCTTGGCTCAATCGCTCCGATCTAGTCGTCCAAGCCCAGGATCGACAAAGTCCATCATCTTACACCATAGATTTTGGCTTAGCCGTGTAGAACCTTGGGTCCGCCGGATGTCTCCCTGCCATGTCTTGGTTCGCGTTATGGAGGTGCCATTTTGAGTCGGTGCCACCTCATCGCTGCGCTCCTTGTCCCAATCCATCACTCTTCGGTCCAATTGGCTGCAACATTCCCATATATAGATCGACAGTGTCACAAATCCGGAATAGTGCCCACCCATCATATTCCATCTTCTCATTTTCCGTAAAACACTTCACCACACACGTATGCAAGTGGCCAAACTTTAGCGGCAATTAGAGTACCGGACAATAATGTGTCTGCTCTCTTGGTGTGGGCCTACAATACCGGCGACATGAAAGTTGTCAGCAAAGTACCGGCGAACCACCTTATATCATCACGGACTTCTTCATGGGCGGCCAGGGGTACGCAGCCGGCGAAACACATATTCATCCGATCTCACAAGAAACGACCTTGCGACCAGGGACTATTCTTAGCTAATATGTCGCATGATATATTTGATATCTAGAGTATTATTCATCTTTAGATAGCAAGAGTAGTCTCGATTTCAAAAACCAAGATACTATTCTGAATTTGAACTCAGAAATGGAAGATACCCGATTAAGAATTTGTATATTTCGCCCGCTTAAATATGATTTAACGACATACGGTTGTTTTTGCATTAACGAGAGCTACTTGAGCCCAAGACAGAAAGGTAATGCAGCAATGGATGATGTGCCGACCGTCTCGTTATTGTTGTGATGAAATCGAAAAGAGAACTTCGCGTTTTCAGCTCACAGGAGACTATTTTCACAGTTCTGTGTGCTGGGGT